GAAGGGGCACTTCTCGGCCTGGTTTGGGTGTGGGAGGGAGGGTTGGAGGAACCCGTCAGCTCCCCCTCCTCTGTGGCCTCGGCTTGCCCCTTGCCATCTGCCAAATGTCAGTGGCTCTGCGGGGCATGCCTGAGGTCTCTCTGGGTGGGCGCAGGGGCTCTGGGTCAGTGGCCTGTGAAGTCATCTGCGTATGGAGCCAGCTCCCCTGGACGCATGTGGGTGTCTCGAGAGACAAATGGGTGTCTGAACTGCCTCGGGCCGGCCTGTGGGCCCCACCCCCACCCCCGGCCAGGATCTCAGCTGCAGCCCTCTCACCAGGGGATGTTTGGGGACAGACTTTGAGCACAGTCCCATGACTGTAGCAGGCAGCTTTCCCCCACACTGTCCCCCACTGTTTGAAAAAACAGAGAAAGGGTACGCAGTCTGGTTTCCCAAATCCAGGCACAAATTCAGAGCTTAGCACAGAGCCGGGCACATAGCAGACCCTTAATAAATCTTTATTGATTAAGACTAGGGCCCCCACTCTGGAAGCTGGGAGAGCTTGAGGGGACTTGAGGCTGTCTTACTTTGCTCAGCCAGGAGTGATTGTGGGAGACCCCTTTGAGAGAGGGAGCCCTGGGGTCTGGGAAGTGAGGAAGGAACACTGGCTCTGGGTTCAAATCCTTCCTCTGACTTAGGTTCTCTAGGCCTCAGTTTCTTCATCTGTAAAATGACTCAGATGGGACTGGGGTCCCTTTTGGCTCTCATTTGGCATCTCCAGTCCATGAAACAGGGTCAGGAAGAGTTTTTGGATATCCCCAGAGGAGGGGAATCTGTGGAGTTATATCCTGGTCTGGACATAGAAATCCCAAGGAGGGTTGCCCAGTGGGGGCATGAAGGGCTTGGTTTAGAATGGTGAAGGGAGGGATTTGGAGTCCATCAGAGCAGGGCTCGAATTCTGCCTGCACCCATGCTGGTTGTGTGGACTTGGGCTGGTCAGTTAACTTCTGAACCTCAGTTTTCCTTATCTGTAAAATGGGGAAGGAATGGAATGAGCATTTATTACATGCCTGCTACGTGTAACACATAGGATCTCACTCGATCCTCACAACAACCTTGAGAGAGAGGTGCTATTATGATCCTCATTTTACTGATGAGGAAACTGAGGCAAAGAGGGGCCAGGTGCCCAGGCTCACCCACCTAGTAAGTGTTTGAGGGCAGATTTGAACTCAGTTTGTCCTGACTCCAGGCCCAGCGCGCTACCCACTGCACCATAACCCTTAAAGGCTTGTTTACATGTGAGCCATTCTCACTCCTCTTGTTACAGTGTGGGGTGGGGGGTGAGTGTGTCTGGAGAGTGAGATTTGGCTGGCTCTTCTCGAGAGGGTTAGGGGCGCCAGGAGGCTGGAGTGTCCTTTTCCTTCTCCCCCACTCAGGGCCCTTTTGGTATCCAGAAGTTGGGCGGGAGGGGTGGAGGGGGCCTCTGGGTCGCCCTCTCCCCTCTTTCCCTTCTCCCAGGGAGCAGAGATGCCCTTTCTTGGCCCCTCTTTGCTCCGGAGCCAGAGTCAGGATGGTCGTTTTCTGGGTCAAGTATTTCCTCCTCTCTAAGATGCAGGAGGGGTCCCTCTAGGGCCTCTCTGAGTCTGCTGTCCTGTGACTGTAGGAAGGCAATTCTCAACCCCCTGGGGACCCCAGCCAGCCGGCCTGCAAGGGCTCTTTGGTGCAGTCGGGGAGATCGTGACCCTGGTGGGGCTGTGCTCTCAGGCAGTTGTGTTTAGTGCAGGAGCCGAGACCCCCAGATTCTAAATTGTATGGGACATGGGAGGGCAAGGCTAGCAGGAGAGGCATTGTGGGGTGGGGACCAAGGGAGCCAGACAGGGCTCCTGTCCATCGGTCCACCCGAAGAGCGCTTTTGCTGCCCTAGGCATTGTGCCGGGCCCCGGGGCTACAGAGAAAGGCAAACCCCTGCTCCCAGTCTGGTGGGGGAGACGCCTGCCAAGCTCTGTCCACAGACAAGATGTAGCTGGAGGGTAACCTCAGAGGGAGGGAACCCAGTACTGGGCAGGGGGGAACGTCCTGGAGGTGGAGGAGAGTCCTGGGAGGTGGGTGGGGTGCGTGGAGGGGCCGCGTGGGGAGGCTTTCCAAGCTCAGCAGGGGGACATAGGGAGCACTGGAGTTTATTGAGGTACAGTATTCTCAGTGGTTGGGGGCATCGCTTGGCCTCTGAGCTCATTGGAATGGGAAGAGGCAGCCTCGGGAGCACTTAGAAGGGTGAGGAGTGGTGAGGGCCTGGCCGAGGGCAGCGGCCACGTCAGAGGCCAGAGAGAGGGCAGGACGAGATGTGGCAGCCGGCCGGGTGAGAGGGAGACACAAAGTAAGTATGGAGGGGGCAGTCGGGCTGAGCCGGTGCCCCCCTGGTGAGGCCCTCAGCTGTGATGGGGAGGTGGGAAGAGGTGCAGCTGCTGCTCAGGAGAGAGGTTAGGGCTGGATATACAGGGGCCCAAAAGTCCTGGCACGTTTTGGCTACAAAAGCTGGCAGTAACTATACCAACTTAAAAGCCCTAAGGCTTGGGGACTCCCTGTAAAGTTCTGGGAATCATCTGCACAGAGATGGTAATTAATCAGGAGTTAATGGGATCGTCAGGAGAAGCTTAGAGGGCCCAGGCAGGAGGGTGTTAGCGGAGGAGACGCCATCCAGGGGAGCCTACGGAGACTGGTCAGACAGAAGAATCCTCGCTAGACAAGTTCTTGTGGGTGCACCTGTCCTGGGCAGGGGCCAGAGACGCCACAAAGAACCACCCAACACAACCTCAGGAGATCGCCCGGTCTTGGGCGAGCCCTTATAGCCCCATTTTACTGAGGACAAACTGAGGCCCAGAGGACTTTGGTCTGCCCAAAGTTACAGCTGGAGTCAGTGGCTCCCAGCCTTCCACTGTCCCCCCAGTGTCCCCCACTGCTCCTTGGACGGCAGGTAGAGAAGAGCCTCGAAGTTAAGGGAGCTGATGTTATCGGGCGTGGAGGAGCTGGAGAGATCAGGGAGGACTCCCTGGAGGGGCCGTGTTGTGAGGGGAGGGGGAGGTTGGATGGACCGGGTCTGGGGAAGGGGCCCGCAGATCTGGGCTTGAGTCTTGGCTCTGACCTCGGGGGAGCACGCGTTGGGAGGTGAGGGGTTTGGCCAGATCACCTCTCTAAATCACTGGACCCCTTGCCTTGACCGCTCCCGTCCTGATCCTTCTGCCACCATGGCCCAGCTTGTAATAGAGTGCTTTCATCTAGGCTTGTGAACTGGCTGCTTGATCTCAGGATCCTGGTGTTTCATTTCCATGTTGCCTCGGGGGTGTCTCTGTACTGGGGGGAGCTCTTGGCCGCCCCCAGGATTGGACCCTGGCCACGAAAGGGCCGGGCTGGCCTCCTGCCTCTGCTGTGTGTTTCCTCCCTGGAGGGACAGCTTCTTCCTGTCCCTGGGATCCTCCGTGGCTCCAGCCACGTTCTGTCCTGTTCCTGCCTGTTTCCATGACAGCGATCTGGGCAGCCCGGTGGCTCCTTGCTCTTCTGGGGACACCTCTGAGCCGGTGCCCCTCCTTCTGCGTGAGGCCTGTGGTGCCGTTGCCAGGCAGGGCAGGGCTGGCTGGAGGGGCCCAGGGTAAAGGTCACCATGCTGACTTTGGAGTCAGAGAACTTGGGTTCAAATCCTGCCTGGCCACCTATTACGGTTACTGATCACTTGGTCTCTCTGGGCTCAGGTTCTTTCATCCGTCAGACCCTCTGTGACCCCTCAGGAGAGGTTTGTGAGATCCTGGGGAGGATCCCCAGCTCCTCTCCTCCCTCACCATCCTCACTCCCAAAAAGCACCTTGAACTTGGAGTCAGGAGCTCTGGGTTCAGGTTCTGGCAGTGCTACTTAAACTATGTGACCTTGACAAAGCCTACACTCTTTCTGGTCTCAGTTTCCTTATCTGTAAAACGGGAGCCTCCAGTCCCCACTTCACCAGGTTGTTGTGGGGGTCAAATGAGGTCTTTAGGAGCTGGAAAACACAAGACGTGATGGTGGCACTGTCCCTGGTCCTCTTCTCTCATCTTCCCCCACCTGCAGTGAATTTCTGGGAAATTGTGTGGAGTAGAAAGAGTTCATTTGTGGGATCCGAACGCTGCCTGTCAGTAAGGCATGTGACTTAACCTCTCAGTTTCTTCCCGACCTCTCAGTGCTTTCCTGCTCTGGAGCTCTGGTCCTGGGATGCTGCCTGGGCTACCTTGACCGAGGGAGGACATGAACACCATGATTGCCGATTCGGTACCGTCTCTCAGTCCTGCAAGGCACTGCTCCTTCCTGGGCCTCACTGTCCTGATCTGTGAAAGGAGAGGGCTGGTTGAGTGGGACAATGGGCACACCTACGGGGTGGACCTCCCAGGGGGCCGTGAGGGCCATGGGGCCATTTCACGGCTCTAAACGCCTCAGCAGTTCATGTGAACAGGCATTCCCTAGGCGAAGTGCTGAGGGGGGTTGGGATGGGGAGGGTACGGGGCAAAATGGAAGAGCAGGCCGTCCTCTCCTGGCACAGGGTCTGAACTTTAAACTGGAAGGGGGCTCAGGCCATCTCTAGTCCAGGAGAGAGGGTACTTGCCATGGGGGATCCAGGAGGGCTTTCTGTAGGAGGTGGTCCCCATTGTCAGGTTTTCTGCTTATTCTGTTGTTTGACTGCCCTGTGGCTCCCCCAGCCCTCTCTGCCCCCAGTATTCTCTGAGGATTATCTCCTCCTGTTAGAATGTAAGCCTCCTGAGGGCAGGATGTGGCACTTGGCACCATTCCTGGCAGTTAAACAAGTGCTTAATAGATGCTTTTTCATTCACTCATTCATTCATTCATGATTGATTCCCCCTGCCCTGGACAGTGGCCTCATCTCCAGACCTGCCTCCCGGTAGATGGCAGCTCCGTGAGGGCAGGGCCTGCCTTCTGCTCCTTTTCGTGTCCCCAGCACTCAGCAGGATCACTCAGTGATGGGCCCGTCTCCCCTTCTCTGCCAGGTCCCTGTGGTGGCTCTCCTTGGAGCATGGGCGGCTGCTGAGCTGGCATCGGGAGCTCTGCTTTTCGGCCGACGGGCAGCGGGCGGGGGCTCCATGGCGACGGCTAACAAAGGTGAGTGAGGGGTGGATGCCCGCCCGGCGTCAGCCTCTGCTGTCAGAAGCGGCCCTGGTGCGCATTCTCCCAGGTTTGTGGGCGTTTGGGTCACCATGGGCGCCCCCAGTTAGGGGCAGTTGGTGCGGTGGACAGGGCCGTGGGTGAATCCCAGCTCTGCCCGCCGTCAGGGACAAAACGGCCTTGTGTCTAAAAGTAGGGGTCGGAGCGAATGGTCTCTACACTTTGGGGTCATTTTAAACCCTCCCCTCCCCCCAAAGAAAAGGTAAGCCTCTTGAGGACAGGCTATGTTTTGTGGTTGTCTTTGTGCTGCCCATAGCAGGCACGGGGCTGTGTCCCTAGGCGCCTCTGACCCGACCTTGGGGGCCCTGATGTCTGTGGGCGCCTCATTCCCCTCTCGGGAGCTTGGATGGGCCTGCCTCCTTCCTTGACCTCTTGGAAGAGAGGGCGAACAGAGGCAATTCTGTACCATCCGAGAAAGGGAAAGTAGGGGAGAAGCATGGGAAGCATAGGCACCAGGGCGTGGTCTGGCCCATCATCCTTTTGTCCACTGGAGATTCTGCCGAGAGCTGAAGAGCCACCGACTGCCTACGGCACTGGACTTGGAGACAGGAAGACCTGGGTTTGAATCTTACCGCAGACACTTGCCTGGGGGACTCCAGCCTCAGTTTCCTCGTCAGTAAAATACACAGCAGCTGGAAAGGACCAGCCAAGATGGTGGAGGAGGAGGAAGCCATCCAGCCCTGCTCTCCCCATCTCAGCAAAGCCTGAGGATGAGCACTGGGCTGAGGAGGGATGGGAGAACCCAAGGAAAAGCCACTGTGAGTCCAGGTCAGCGCAGAGAAACAGGTCTCTTGGCACTGGGCACCATATATATGTGGCCAGGAAGGTCCCGTGCCTCACAGTCTTTCAGCCCAGGGACTGAACCTGTGCCTTATATGGGCACTTGGGGCCGGCAGGGCGGGACAGAAAGCCAGGCGGCGGCTCCGTCCCTCTGATCCCAGAGCAGCTGGAGTGGAAGCTGGGGAGGGGGTGGGACGGCGAGTACACACTTGTGTCTCAGACTTTGCCCTGGATCAGGTGGCCCTGGGCAACCCTGAAAGCTTGCCAGTCACCCTGAGATCCTTGAAAAAACGCAGCCTCAGCGCCCAGAGAAAGCAGCCCAGGGCAGACCCGGGAGATCCAGGCCCTCCCTCCAGAGAGAAGTGCCCCCCACCACAAAGTCCCAATCCAAGAGGGCAGGCTGGAGGAAGAGAGCTGCCCGAGCCTCGGGCATAGTCTGACAGCAGCCTTGGATTTGGGGGAACAGGTTGCAGAAGGTTCCGGGTTCTCCGTTGGAATGTAATCAGCTGGTGAGCAGGAATTGTTTTGTTCTGCTCTCTGTATCCTCAGCCCCTACAGCAGTGCCTGGCGCACAGGAGGTGCTCAGTAAGTCCCGATTGATTGATGTATCGAGGGACTCACTCGCCCACCAACTTAGATTTGGAAGAAGCTGCAGTGAGGATGGGTGGCTGGCGTTCGCTGGAAGGATGCGTCTGGGGTGCTGAGGCTTGGAAGGAGCTGAGGATGAGGAGGAGGAGGGAGTTTTATTTTCTCCCTAATTCATGTCGTAGGAATGAAGAGGATAAGAGAAGCGGGAGAGGGTCAGTGCTCTGGGTAGATGCGGTAAGGCCAAGCCCTGCCGAGCCCTGGTCTTGCCTCTGACTTCTCTGCCGGGGAACGCGACCTTTGGACGGGAAAGGACTGAGCTCGATGGCTCACGGGGCGTCGATGCCCAAGAGAAGGAGAGGGAGAACAAGTAAGCTGCCCTTGATGAAGTCCGGTCGGTCACCGGGCCCAGACAGCCTCATCTCCGAGCGGGCAGATGTGAGATGGGAAGATCGTGGAGATTGGGAGAGATGACTCAGGGCTGGAGAAATGTCCTGATTAAAAAAAAAAAAGCCCACCCAAAACAAAAGGAAAGAGAGAGAAGAGGCGGCCAATAGTGGGCAGCAAGTGTGGCACATTGATTCCTGGCAGCGTTGTGGAATGGATTATTAAAGGGATAGCTAGTGGCCATCGAAGAAAGGAGGCGATGCCTTCAGCCAGAACGGGTCACGTGAGGCCGGCCAATTTCCTTTTTCTTTTGGCAGGGCTTCTAACATGGCTCTTCAGGGGAATGCGGTGGATATTGTTTGTGCTTTCCTGAAAGTGTTTGAATATGTCAAGCTTATGCTAGTTGGAAAAGTTGGAGAGTCTCGGACTAGATTGATGGTGGATTGATAGGAGATAGCCGGTGGGTTGGACACAAAGGGGAGGCGTTAATAATTTGCTCCACACACCTTGGCTGGAGGTCTCTGGTGGCATGCCTTAGGGATCGGACCTCAGCCCTGTGCTGTTCTGACTGCACGGAGCAGTGGTGTGCATAAGCATTGGTGGTGTGCTTATCAGATTTGCTGATGACAGTTGGGAGGGATTGCTCCCACAATGACCACCAGTTAAGATGCATAATCTTGACCACCCAAAGCTATGGGTGGTATCTGGCTAGGAAGCTGAAATTCACTAGGGATAAGAAAAAAATAGCTTTGCAAGGACAGTGTATGTGTGTGTGGTGGTGGTGGGGGAGATGCACTAGTCTGTCTGAAAAAGACCAGGGGGATTTCTGGTGCACTGAGAGCTTAGTATCAGTCGGGAGGGGATGTGGCACCTGAAAAAGAGCAAAATCTGGGGTTGCATCGGGGAATGAGAGAGGTCACAGTCCCCACTGTCCTCTGCCCTAGTCAGACCTGACTGAGAGTAGTGCCTTCAGTTTTGGGTTCCAGAGTTTAGGAAATGCTGACAAGCATTGCTTAAGCACCCACTGTGTGCCAGTCTCTGTACCGAGCATGGGATACCAAGGAAGGCCAAAAGATCCCTGCCCCCTAAGGGCTTACGTTCTGGGGGGGAGACGATGTTCAGATATCTCGGTCCACTCGAGACACACGCAGAGTTGGGTAGGAAGGGAACTCGGAGGGGCTGTTGGGTCATGAAGGAAGCTGAGGATTCTCAGAGGTAGATGCAAGGCAGGAACACGCTTCAGACACGAGGGATGGCCACTTGGTCATGTGAGCAGTGGCAAGTGGCCAGAATGGCTGAACTCTGGAGTGTATGGAGGGAGGTTAAGGGACTGCAGAGCTGGGGAGGGGCCAAGTTGGCAGGAGCTTTGAGTGCCAGACAGAGGCGCTTGTGTTTGGCAAGGATGTTGGCGGGACAGGTGTTGATCAAAGTGACCTGAGGAGGATGGCTGGGCTGGTGTTGGTGAGTTTGTGCCAGTGCAGGGAGCCGCCTGCATGAGGGGAAGACTCCTGGGCATTGTGGTTGCTGTGTCTCGGGATGGGAAGGCCTGTCCTACACAGGCAGGAGCAGCCTTTCTGCTTGGCCCAGAGGGGAGGACGTCAGGAGAAAAGTCTGAAGAATGAGAGCTGTCCGGACTGGAGCCGGGGTGGTGCAGGAGCGGAATGGATTGCCTCCAGGGCAAGGCGCTCTTCCCCGCCCTCCTCGGTCTGCATTTGTCTGCTCTGTTGTAGCAGGGTTAGACCAGACCCGGCCAAGCAGCCAAGACCCCTTCTGAGGCTGAGATTCTGGGAATCTTTGATTCCGTGACCTGGGTGAGGAGATGCGATGGTTTTCTGTGCACCGACTGGGCTTGTGTCCCGGGGAGCCCAGTTTTCCAGGGCTTTCTCAGGGAGGTGATGGGGAGTCCGTGCCATCACAAAGCAGGCCTCTTCATCACTCCTGGCACCGCCCATGACATCACATTATTGCCTTTACTTTCCACCCTGGCACCCCCTGCAGCTCCCACTCTGGTGTCACCTTGGTCTCGGCCTCTTGCCCTCCCTCCTCCCCCACCTTTCCCTTTCTCCCTTCCCTTTCCTCTTCTCTTTCTCCCCCTTTCTCTTTTCTCCTCCCTCTTCCCTTCCCTCTCTTCTTTTCCTCCCCAACCCCCAAATGAAGCAGCCCATTCCCACCTCTGGCAGTGACCAGAGCATACTGGTCAGAGGCACCCAGCAAGGTCTTAAGAAGGCCTCTGATGACCTCCACAGGGTGTCCAGCTGGTGGTTTAAGAAGAAAAAGAAAGGGGTTTTCGTTGAGAAACTGTTCCGTAAGAGGAGTGTGGGTGGGTGGCTGGATGAGAGGGAGGGCCGGGGTCTAGAAGGCAAGAGAGGGGGAGAGGGGAGGAGGGACTTACTGCTTTCCCTGAACTACTTCTTTCTTCTCTTTCTTCACAACTTTCCAGGGTTTCTCACTCACACCTGACTTTCCAGCATTCTCCATTCCCCCAGTCTTGACCCTGCTAAATCAAAGGTGGGGAACCTCCTTGAGGCCACATGTGGCCATCTAGGTCCTCAGGTACAGCCTTTTGACTGAGTCCAAACTTCACAGAACAGATCCTTTTATTAAGGGGATTTATTCTGTGAAGATGGATTCAGTCAAAGGGCCCCACTTGAGGACCTAGAGGGCCACACGTAGCCTCGAGGCCATAGGTTCCCCGCCCCTGCTGGCCTAGATTGAGCCCCTGATGTGGAACCCCACCCTGTGTCCCTGGATCCCTCATGAGGCTCCATCCTGACCTCTTAAGTGGGGCCCCAGCCTGGCTTTCTGATGCCTCCATGCCCCATCCTTAGCCTCATACTGACCTCCCTGAGACCAACCCCCCCCCAGCTGAATTGTACCACTTTTAAAAAAAACCATCCAGGTCCACCCCACTTCATGCTGAGCCCTGGGGCCACACCTTCAGACCCTGGTCCCACCCTGCCCCCTCCCACACACATTGAGCGTAGCTTGGCCCAGACTCACCCCTCAGCCTGCCCCTCTTCTCACAGAGCAGCAGAGCCCCACTGGGCAGGAGGGGGGGTGTGGCCCAGTGGAGCCCAAGCCTGTCCCCGTGTCTGGGCAGAGCCTGCCTGGTCGTCATTATCATTGGCCTGCCCCATGGCCAGGGTCCCTCATCTGCCCTCTCTGTGCCCCTCCCTGCTTTTCTAGGAAGCAAAACCAAAATCAGCAGCATCCGCTTTGCCGAGGCGACGGCCAGCCACTCCGTGGAAAGCTCCCAAAGCCACGTCCACTTCGATGAGAAGCTGCACGATTCTGTCGTCATGGTTTCTCAGGAGGCCGATGGCAACTTCCTTGTCAAGGTAGGAGACTGCCTCCCCCCAGACTGTGCCATGCACTCTGGTGTGTAGCATACAGAGCTGGGCTTGGGGTCAGGAAGGGCTGGGTTCGAATCCTGCCTCTGCGTGACTGGGGTCAGGGCGGTAGTAGATAGAGCACAGTGGGCTGTGGAATCAGAGGTCCTGGGTTCAAATCCCACCATAACTCTTCCTTACTACCTGGATGACCTTGAGCAAATCCCTTGACCTTCTGGATTTGTTTCCCTATAGGAGGGCTGGGCGTGATGTCTTCTGAGTGAGGTCCCCTGTAGCTCTCGATTCTGGTCCGAGGATCCTGAAAAGCCACAGTGACACCTCCCTGAGCCTCGGTTTCTTTGTCTGCAAAATGGGGATAATTATTTATGGGGTACCTCCCTCACAGAGTAGTTACCACGGCTTGGAAAGTATATTGGAAAGTGATCGAAGTGTCAGTTACTTTTGTTCTTATTATCCCCTCTTCTGGGGCCCTGCCAGGATTGCCTAAGCTTCCGCCTCTCTGGGCCTGTTTCCCCATCTGTAAAACCGGTAGGTGAGACCAGATGCTGTCCAGGCTGAGGTCCCTTTTAGCTCCAGCAGCTTCAGAGACTGAGTCTTAAAGGGAGTAGCCCACGGTGACTCTTTCTCTCTCTCTCTCTGTCTTTAAACAATCTAATTTATATTTAATTTTTTCCCAATCCAATCAGTATTTTATTTATTTATTTATTTAGCTTTGGTAAATAGTGCTTTATTTTTTCCAATTCCATGTAAAGTCAACTTTCAACATTCATTTTTTATAAGATTGTGAGTTTCAAATTTTTTCTCCCTCTTTTCCTCCCTTCCGCCTCCCCAAGATGGCATGCAATCTGACATAGGTTATGCATGTGCAGTCATGTAAACATATTTTCACATTAGTCATGTTGTGAAAGAAGGAACAGAACAAAAGGGAAAAGCCACAAAACCCCCCAAAAAGAGCAAATAGTCTGCTTCGTTCTGCTGTCAGACTCCATAGTTCTTTCTCTGGGTGTGGATAGCATTTTCCATCATGAGACTTTTGGAGATGTCTTAGATCCTTGCATTGCTGAGAAGAGCTAAGTCTGTAAAAGTCAGTCATCGCACAACATGGCTGTTAACTGTGTACAACGTTCTGGTTCTGCTCACTTCATTCAGCATCAGTCCATACAAGTCTTTCCAGCTTTTTCTGAAGTCTGTCCATCATTTCTTTCTTTCTTTTTTTCTTTTTTCTTTCTGCTGCTGCTTCTTTTTTTTTTTTGGTGAGGCAGTTGGGGTTAAGTGACTTGCCCAGGGTCACACAGCTAGTGAGCATCATGTGTCTGAGGCCAGATTTGAACTCAGGTCCTCCTGACTCCAGGGTCGGTGTCTATCCACTTGTTCATCATTTCTTATAGCACAATAGTATTCCATTACATTCATATACCACAACTTGTTCAGCCATTCCCCAGTTGATGGGCATTCCCTTGATGTCTAATTCTTGGCCAACACAAAAAGCTGCTGTAAATACTTTTGTACACGTGGCTCCTTTTCCCATTTTTATGTTTTCTTTGGGATACAACCCTAGAAGGGCTATAGCTGGATGTACAGTTTTATAGCCCCCTTTGGGCATAGTTCCAGATTGCTCTCCAGGATGGTTGGATCAGTTCACAGCTCCACCAACGATGCATTAGTGTGGTGACTCTCTTTAGAGGGCCGAATGCCAGTATGGAAGAAGCATTGGATGTGGCCTTTGTAGTTTGGGGGGGGGGCGCAAAGCGAGGCTTTCTAAGCCTGAGGTTACAGGAAGGCCCATATCCTTCCCAGCCTGTATCTGCTGGCCCCTGGCCCCAGGGTCACGTTAGATTGTGACGCCCCCGCCTGCTTGCTGAACCACAGAAGTGAACTCTTGGTCCTTGAATGGGACTGAGGACTGAGGAGTGCAGGTTCTGGATGTGCAGGGTGACACTTGTCTTGTCAGAAAGGCCCTCTGCCCCCTAGGTGACTGGGCCAGAGGACAAGGATGCCCGACAGGAGGGGGAGCTTGTAAAAAGACACGTCGATGGGAGTTCATACTTCTCTGGACACCTTACTAAGGACTTTCCTTTTATGAGTTAGGGCACGAAAGTATCAAAACTCATTTAACGGAGGAGGAAACTGAGGTCCCTGGAGCGGCAGACACTTGGCCCCCATCTCCCTCTCCTGCCTTGTGCCTAGTCCAGGCTGCTACAGCCTAGTTTTAGGCTGACGCACAAGCCAGGGGAGTGTAGCTTAGTGGGCAGGGTCTTGGTGTCCTCCACCCCCTGGATCTCATTATCCCAAGAGAGGGTGCTGGCAGGAGGCCTCAGAGCTTAGATAAACTTCCCACAGGACAGTGCCATGTAGAGCTCTCACGGAGGGCTGGGGTGCTCTCAGCCAGGACAGGACGTCTCGGGGGCTGCTGGGAGGGGTGGTGGGTGGGACCTGGCCAGGAGCTAGGGAGTAACCTGATTGGGTGGGTTTGAGGGGGTGTGTGTGTGTGTGTGACAGGGGGGAGGGGTGTGAGGTCAGCACTGCAAATAAGGTGTGTGTACAAAGGGAGACTGACTTTGCCTTGAACACAGAGAAGGCTATTGTCTTCCTAGAGGCACCCGCTTTCCCCCCCCCCCCCACCGTGGAAGGCCTTCAGCTGATCCCCAGGAGCCCGCCAGCACACAGGCCGTTTCTGGGCTTCTTCTTGGGGAGTATGGTTCCAGTGTCTCTGAGGTCTGTGAAACAGTCAGCCTCCTTCCTTTTCATAGTCCCCCATCTTCTGGGGAGCTGTCCTTCCCTTCTTTCCTTCCTCTCTCCCGCCAAAGCTTCAGCCTTCCTCACCTCACCTCCTTGCTGTGCTTCAGTCCCCGCTCTGGGCTCTCGGTGACCTTGGGAGCTTTCTGAAAATCCTGTCCACCCTCAGCAGAGGAGGAGGGCACGAAAGGCCTGGCCGTGAGGGCTCTCCCTTCCCCCAGCCCCAGTCCCTGGGTTCAGAGGTCAGCCGGCCTCCCCAGGGGACCCCATGGAAGGGCTTGACTCGTATTTGGACGTTGGGGTCAGTGTGTGTGTCACAGCTCTGAGCCCGGGGCCTTGTGGGTGGTCTTAGGCTGATCTCGGCTTTTCCTCCTGCAGCCAGAGTCAGAGCTGATGCCACCCCTCCCCCTGCCTGGCGCCAGCAATCCTGTAGAGCTGTTTCTCTGGGATTGCCCTAGGTGGCAATAATGGAGGACCCCGAGGCAGAGGGCCCCGGGTTCCCATTCCAGCTCTGTGCCCTTGGGAAGCATCCCCCCTTCTCTGTGCCTCAGTGTCCTCATCTCTGAGGAGACCATCTCGAAGGTGCCTCCTGGCTCTGGCCGTGGGGTCTAGGCCTCTGACTGGCCGCAGCCTGGGATCACTTACCGTTCTCTTTGAGCACGAGGGGACCTGAACAGGAACCCCCTCTTAGAGCCTCCTGACAAATAGGTGTCCAGCCTCTGATGGGAAGCTTCTGTTGACAGGGAGCTCACTCTCTAGAGAGGATTGGACTCTGAGTCAGGAGGGCCTGGATTCCAATCCTGCCTCAGCCACTTACTAGCTGTGTGACCTTGGGCAAATCACTTGACCTTTCTCAGCCTCACTTTCCTCATCTGTAAAATGGGCATCATACCTACCTCCCAGAGCTGTTGCAAGGATCCAGTGCGATAATAATCAGTGTATTAATAATGTCTTCCCTTGCAGAGGAGAGAAAGTCAGCTATGACTGTGATGGGCACTATGTTTACCAAGAGCCCTGCAGGTGAGGAAGTCACGAGGCCTGGGTTCAGGTCCTGGTTCTAACACTACCAGCTGTGTGACTGTGGGGAAGCCATTTATTTACCTTCCTGAGACTGCAAAGTCCGAGGTTTCGGCCCCTCCAGGGCCATTCAGTATCTCACTGCCTCTGGGGAAGCTCTTGGGCTTTTGGACAGTTCTCGTCTTTAGTGATCTCTCTGTGGTGCTCCCTACCTCGGGGCCCAAGGAGAGCAGCCCCGGGCTCGATGCGAGGGCCCTTTAAACTCCCCCTCCCCCTGAACATCTCCCAAGCACCCCCCATTCCACCTCCCCCAGACATCTCCCAAACACCCCCACCCCCCTTTTCCATCTCTCAAGCACACACACACTCCCTTCCCCCTCCCCTCCCCCCTTTCCATCTCCTAAGCACCGCCTACTCGCCTTTTCCTCCCCCCTTTCCATCTCCTA